AATAATTTTGAATTCCTGCCAGAAGAGGAAGCACGTGTACAAACTCTTGTTGATCAAATAATTCAGTATGCTATATTCACCCTTCTTAAACTTTCTGACATATTTCAAAAACCATTTATGATATCATTACAAATGAGCTGGAAAATAGTTGCATCAAAACATCCAAATTTTTTATAATTAAATGGTAGACTTAAAATACTATACATATAAATTTCAAACATAAGTTTACATAGTTTGTTTGACATAACATACTTTGTGACATAACATACTTTGTGTAACAAAAGTTTTGTTTGACTGCTCAGTATCATTACTGACTGAATGTGTTTTTGGAGGGGGGAGGAGGGGGGTTAAAAACAGAGTAGACTGTTAATTTTTTCAAGATTCTGTTTTAATAGTTAAATAAAAGTACTGACTATTACAAGAATAAGACTGTATTTCATATGTAGAAAATTTATAACTTTTACAGCTTACCTTAAAAAAAAAAAAAAAAAAAAAAAAAAAACTATTAGCTTCGTGGATTTTAGAAATTTTTAGGACTGTAAACATATTTATTGAAATATGAAAAAGGGGATTAGATTTCCCCGAACAACATCAACTGAGAAACTTTTAGGGCCGTAAAAATAATTATTGAAATGTGAGAAAGGGAATTACTCAAACAACTTTAAATACAATCATTTATATATTTGTGAGAAAATAATACCAAATATATGAGAAATTTTGATACATTTCGGTTAAGTGAGTGATTGTCTATACGAAAGTGCTAACGAAACAAAAATTCTTTCCATGTTAAAGTGATTGTACGAATTCAAATAAATTTTTATTGAAATATTCTTTAGGGGGTATTTTTTTGTCATAGAAGTTTAATATATTGTTAGGATATTTTAAATTCAAGCTTGCAAAAAACAGATATATCTTATAGGACTGATAACGTTGATAATTTTTCATTACTTATAAAAATATTTTTTTATTTTTTAAAATGGATAAATTCAGGAATAGTCATGAGATTAGATAAAATTACTCGAAATAAATAAAACACCAAGTAACTAAAATAACATTTACAGATTAAGAGTTAACAAATTTTCAGTTTATCATCCACCGGGGGGGGGGTATCGAATTCAAATTTCTCCATTAAATGTATTATTTTTCATTTTATCCTCCCCCCCCCCGGTGCTAGTGTCATTTACAGGAAATTTAGATTATAATCCTCCAGTAAAAGTAGCATTATTGTTATAAATTGGAAAGACAGGTTGACCTGAGAATAGTAACCGAATTGCTTTATAAACTACTGTTGACAGCATTAAGGTTTAAATAGACTTTCGAGGGTGAGTCTAGCGGTCAAACCCGCGCATGGAGCACCCTGGACAGCGAAAGAAATCGTGAGCAAACATCTAGTGAATGGACAACAGAGAGGACGTGATATGTAAAAAGACAGCAACGGCATATGCTGACTTCATATCTACGATGGAGATATGTAGCAAAAAAGTCTATTTACAACAACTAACACATCTCTTCTTGCGAAATGAATAATATACGTATATCGTGGTTTCGAAGAGCTCTCTTTAAGCAAAAAATGAGTGTTAGAACATGGAAACGTACAGCGCGTGCATCGGTACGTGCAGAGAATGATTTGCTGAGTATAGTACAGAATTCAGAGCATATTAATCAAACTATGACCGATCAAAAGAGGCGAAAACGAGTTTTGGCACTCTTTTGTTTGTGGCTGGCGCATGCGCGTAGTGACATGAAGCGCAATTAAGTACGGCATAAGTTTTCGACAGCTTTTTATTAAAGGAGTTCTTTAGGAACCATTATACCGCCATCATGAACTAACTTAAAGTTTCAGAGATTGTATGAAATCTATTAGCCTATCTATTAACAAGGAAAATTACTGCCTTCGTATACGAAGGTATGACACAATACTACATAGGGTGTTCACACATTTTTGTAAAGATTTTGATTTTTAATAATTCAAATGTTAATTTTAAAATACAAACGTGACTGGCATCTAATTGGAATGAGGTTTAATTTTCGTCTGCAGTATAAAAAATTTTCTTTTTTTTTTATGTTGTTGAAAAATAAACAATGGGTCGTAGGCTACATTTTTGCCGGTCCGAAGAGAAATACTCTTAGTCAATTATTAAACAAAGATATAAAAATCATGGTTTTTTAATATTTTTACACGTAAAATGAGTTACATAATTAATATGAAAGGAAAGAAACGTCAAAGTGTACATCTGACGAGGGAAAAGGCAAAAAATGCATACCCAACATGCAAGGTACGTATAAATCTTATTAAATCTGAACTCGCATCTCGTGTTTTAAAGGAAAATTCAGCTCAAATCTTTAAATATATCTGTAGTAACTGTGAACAAAATTATAAAATCTGATTTAAAACTAAGTGAAACCGGAATATAAGCTATTCTCTTCAAATGCATCCACCCAAGTCCCCTGATTCCTATGGATTACTGTGCATCTGATTTTTTAAAACAAGCTCTTTATGAACCCAAAACATTGGATGGACTCTGGAAGATTGGGAAGGAGCAGTGAAATAAAACCAACCTCGATGTTTTAAGAAAAGGACATTTATCTTGGAAATCAATATGTAATATGATAGTTCAACAAAAGAGCTTCAGCTTGAACATATTAAAAAGTAAAATTCTAAGGTTTGTTTAAATATAAATCTTTGCAAAATCGTTACAAAAGTGTGTGAACATCCTGTGTATATTTCTTCGATTCTCAGACGCACTTTCTATCGAAATAATTTTCAGTATTGCTTTACTTTTGATTTTTGTGATTAAGGATTTTTCATTACAGACTTTTATGTTTTTAAAGCAATACATGTTTTTTAAATACTAATTTTAAATTCTAATTAAAATATTGACTAAAAAATTTTTTATTCATGGTTTTAATTGAATTTCTGTTCCTTGGAGATGATTTATGAAAAGTTTTCTGATTATAATTTAATATACTATTGTTTTCAATAAATCAACGTTTTTTATAACAAAAATATTTGCTATATGTATCTTATCGCTTTCTTTTATCCTCCCTGTCGGTGGTACTGTAAATAAAAGTGCGTCTTTCAACTGACAGCATTTTAGAATCAAATATATATGGTAAGTAAAATTTTTCAAATATTTAAACTGAAAATTTCCATTTTTGAGCAGTTATTTACGACTCTTAAAATATGTTATGACATAGCATTAATTTTTCACATATAATTTTTTGTATTTATAAAATTGATTATTTTTAATGATAATTTAGTGTTATTTATTAAAATAATAATTTAGTAAAATAAATCATTAAAAAGTTACTAATATAATAATTGAAGTAAAATAAACAATTGACTAAAACAAATAGTTATGCAAAAAGAGTAAAACGGTTGTAAACAAATTTCATTAACAGAAATCTTTCTTAAACACAGTCTCCACATACGGGAAAGAGGATAATGAATGTCGCCTGGGACGGAAAAAAACATAAAAATCATAATTATTTTTGTTAATTATGCATTTTAATTCAATGTGATTTTAAATACTCTAAATTACACAAATGCATCATGTATAATGCGATTGCTAGTATTGACTTCCAGTATGTAGAGACGTGTATCTCAAAAAAGAAATTGTTCATGTTATAAAAAAATTCCGCAAATCATTCTCTGATAATACTTCATATACGCTTTTTTTTTTTCCATTACTGGGAAGCAGGGGTAGGGGGATTTGTGAAATCCGTGAACTGTGTCCCGAAGAGTTCAGCATCTTCTAGAGTGTTTCCATAGAAGATACGTATAAAGTTAGGTGCCGAGATACACAGCAATAGAGTAATATGCGAAATTGCTGATATTTCTAGATTCACTATGACACAAAATTCTTGCTCTTAATATTCTTTTGTTTAGTAAAAATCTTGGGAAACAATAGAAGACATACGTATGTCACAATTTGTGTAGGTACAGGCGAAAATTGAATCGCTTTACTATGGCACTTGGAGACGCCTAAACATCGCATTTGCATAAGTCAAGAAAAGATGAACAACTTTATTATACACAAGTCTGATAGTCAGTCCTTAAATCTAAATCTAATGTATGAAAGAGAAATGGCGTTTTTATATCCTTGTTTCCCAAGACTTTACGTTCATAAAATCATCTGTGCATGAAAAGAGGAACAAGTGGCATTCAGAATTTTTCCTTTTGCCGTCGTGAATGAAAAGTTTTATGAATTACTGACTAGTTCTGTGATTTATAAACTTTATAAAATATAATAAACTTCACAGAAAATAATATTAAATTCTATAACTGCACACGTTTAAAATACATTTTCAATACATTAAAACTGTTAATAAACTTCTTTCCAATCACTAAAGTTTCTTAGTTTTATTTCAAAATAAAACTGCACTTATACCTTAAAGAAATGATTTTGTTTAAAGATATATTTACATACCCAGGCTTCAAACTGAATTCTTCTGCAAAACAATATTAAACAGCGCATGCAATTTTATGCAATGAACAACAAATTAACTTTCAGCACTGTAATGTACAGAATAGTTAAGTTAATATCTATAAAAAATATGCTAATTTTGATAATAATATTGACCCATTAACTGCCAAATTTTTCTCTCAATTTACATTTATTTCTGGGTGTCTAGATTGACATAGAGACTGTATATTGGAATATAAATGGTATATAGAGGGAATCTGCCATGAGCTCGGAATGGAGATCGCCATTCGAGTAGCCCTCACCGGAAAATAAAATTCATGTTGACAATAAATAGTTACCTAAAAATTATACATTTAAAACTATATACATCTAAAAACTACTTTGAAAGCAAGAATAAATTAGGTCATGTTTAAAACCAAAAAGAATATTTAAACAATTTTTGTGGAATATACTTAAAATACTACATGAAAAATTAGGATTATAAAATATGAAGAACATTAATATTTTGTTAAAGAATATTAGTATATTAAATTCTAAGAGAATTAAATATTTATTAAAAAATGTTAGTGTATTAAATTCTAAGAGAGAATTAAAATATTAATATATATTAAATTCTTAATATAATTCTAAAACCATTAGAGAATCATTAGTACATAAATACAACAATACAATAATATGACCTACCGAGTTTTGAAAATGTTGAAATCTTAAAACTCACAAAAATTTCACTTCTTCTCAATAATACTCTCCAGTTCACTAATTTAACAACTATTACTCAACAACTCATGCAAAAGCTAGAGAAAGCTTTAAACAACAATGGAAAAAAGTAACCATTGTTGCCAAACTAATTAAAGTTACCAAATTTCCGCTAGTAAGTCAAATCCCCATATGGGGATCATGGCAGTTAATTGGTTAATAACCGTTCAGATAAAAATCCATTGCGGTGCCCTCGAAACATATGCTTACACTCCAGCTTTAAGAATAAACTTTTTTTTTTTCTTCTTTTCATTCCTTGATAGGTACAGAATTGTTTTTCTAATTTCATAAAAGCTGAAATACATCTATAAACTGCTTCGAAAGATAAAAGAATAAATTACGCAATGTTTAAAACCAGAAAAGAATATTTTAAAGAATTCTGTGAAAAATCCTTAAAATGCTACATGAAAAATTAGGATTAACGTTATGTGAAATTCATAATATTTTAATAAGTGTTAAATAAACTCTTTTCAGGAGAATTAAAAGCAATTTATCTCTAAAACAATTTCATGAAATCTACTCATTACGATGTATAAAGCTGCTACAAGATTTTTTTTTTTTTTTTTTTTTTATGTAGTAATTATAAATATAGTGTAAGTAGTAATAGTAATAAGTATAGTGTAAAATTAGAAATAAAAAAGAAGAAAAAAAGTTTGTCTGAATTTTCGGATTTTTAGCTTAATAATTAAAAGCCTAGCTTAATATTAAACTTGGAAAAGGAAAATGCCCCAGCAGAACATTGAAATTGTTTTGACTAATGAGTAATATTTACTCCATGCAAGAACATATTATATGCAAACAAAAAGAAGTTTAAGATTATGATTGCGTGAATTGGAATCTATTGCATACTAACTGATAACAGGTCAGCTAAAAAAGCTTGTGTTTAAAGATGGTAACGATATCAAAGTTTACAAAAATTCTTATTTCGATAGCAAGCGACTTTTCAGGAACACTTGCTTGCAAGCTATTAAGGAGAGGAGGGATAAAGAAAAGGTCAAAATTGCACTTAATCAAAATAGAAATAAAGAAATTTTTAAGTCAAATATATAAAGAATTAATAAACATATTGAAACGCAACCATAGCTACAAATAATGTACATAAAAACTAAAAAGAAAGAAAAAAAAAAACTTTCAGGCTTCTATAAAATCTTCTAATACCACTTGTTACTCCCTTTTATATATAAACATATATATATGTATGTATGTATATATGTACATAAAAAGAACTACAAATGCTAAAACATAGATTCAAAAGATACACAAGAATCGATAGACTGTCTTCATAAGACATAGGGAACTAAAGCTTTACCTCCCACAGTCGCAGTTCGAAGAGAACATCATGTATCGGTGAGTAAAACGTCAGTCACACGTGCGACAAGGGCACCTGTTTGCAACTGGAGGGCACGTGCCCCACATGGCTGGCTGGACTGAGAGGTTTAAACGTTCTAGGCCCATACAGGGCATCGGCACCTCCCGGCGTCCCCGTTCTTTGTGACGTAGAGCCGGGGCCACCACGCTGTCCACGTCGTCGGCACAGTCGTTGCCTCCAGGATTCCAGGGTTTTCACTGATGTTATCCAGAACCCAGAAGTTATACCTACTACTAAACACATGAAATATTTGAGCATGAAAACCGAATAGTCTGGTCGTGCTGTGTCCGATTCACAGGGACAATTATGGCGATGGTCCCATCTTTCTCGGAAATGCTGCTCGTAAAAGTGGCAGCCGATCACAATGGTAGCTGGTACCGTATACAGGACGGAGAAGACACCGATTCGGATCATCAGCTTCTCCAGTTTGTCCGCTTTGGCCCGTGCTTGCTGTCGGATCACATTGCGGATACGAAACAGTGAGACGAAGCCTGCGAGGAGGAAAGAGGTACCCAAGAGCAAGTAGGCGCAGAGAGGCATAATTACAAACCATCTCAAATAGTCGACGTTCTGGTTTCCAACGGAGCATACACCCGCTACTGGGTCGCCATCAACCGCCCCCATGGCCAAAACAGCAATAGATTTACCTGTTGGCACCAACCAAGCTGCAAGGTGAAAATACTGCGAATATCCAGCAATAGCCTCATTTCCCCACTTCAGTCCTGCTGCCAGCAGCCAGGTTAATGTCAGTATCACCCACCAGAGGGAACTGGCCATTCCGAAAAAATAAATTAATAGGAAGACAATGGTACAAGCTGGCGGGCGGCCTGTCGTGTGATACCGGACTATAGGCCCGTCACAAGCCACTGCCTCGTGGCCGAGACCCAGCCTTACCAGGTAACCCACGGACACCATGAGGTAGCAACCGGACAGGAAAATGATAGGACGTTCGGGATAACGGAATCGGGTAGGATCTATAAGGAAAGTTAAGACTGTCATGCTAGCTGAAACGCAGCAAAAGATGGCCCAAAGTCCAATCCAGAAAGCGGCGAAAGTCTGTTCATCTTTGCTAAAGAACGTACCACGGCAGGGCCTAGCGCAGTGCGGTACTCCACCTGTCGCTACATTATTATACAATCTCCGGTCAGTTGCATCCACTAGTGGCACCATAGGAAAACGGCACTCGCAACTGCACTCCGAGTCAACCCCCGCGGGTACAGTTTCACCCGGCGGAAGACCAACGTTTCCTCCAGGAGATACAGAATCATGCCTATCTCTTGACTTCGAATTGCGACCCCTATATGAAGGAGGCCTACGCACTGGTTTTGTTTCTTGTTTGCTGCTGTACTCTCCATTCTCTGGACCTGCACCTTCTTTTGCGTCCATGCACAAATGCTCTTGATCGCCGTAACGAGGAAAGTCATCGCAGTTCATTCTCTCCGGCCAAACAAATCCGTACTTGTGCATGATAGGAGCACAACCTGCTCTAGCACGATCGCATACCGAAGAGCATGCAGGCAACTGGCCCTGGTAATCCTCGATGCAAATTGGGACATACAAGGAACACAAGAAGAAAAGAAGATCGTCCGAGCAATGTATCTCGACTAGTGGCCAAAACTGGTGAACTTCTAAGCCTGCTTCGTCCTGAGTATCATGATGAAATTTATTTGGCATAGAAGTGTAATTGTAACCGATGCCACGGCACATTGGAATGGTGATTTCTTCACAACGTTCTTGCTGGCACAATACCGAAACTACAGACAGAAGCACAAGAAGAATATGCAGAGTTAAAAAGCTCTCCATTTTTCCCTACCTGAAGAAATTACACAAACAAATCTGTTTGTACAGCACAAGTTGTTTTCTAACTTCTACAGTGTATGTAAATTCAATAACACTGGATTTCATTTAGTCCGATTTGCACATATCATGAATGCACTGCTATTTTGCTCCGCGATGAAAGTAACATATATGAGACAGTTATGTGGCTTAATTAATGACGATCAGCCGAAACCTGTTGTTTTTGAAGCATTTAGTTTCGTGTACGGTGAATCACAAAAGTGGTAATCCATCTGAACCGTATCTGCACTATATGATAGCATTAATGAATGTCTATGTGCAAAAGGAAAATGTCACTAATGAAGATATTTCAGTCACCACAATTAGTCCACATTAAATCAAAGCAGTGCTGTATTCTATCAAATGCATGTTATAACTAAAATCATTTCTCAATAGCAGAATTCCGAGATCTGACACGCCGAGGCGTTTTAGTTTTTTTTCCGATTCCGAGACTACCTGCAGCACAGCAGTCGCGACACTTCGGAGACGAAGTCTGCATCCCAAGCTGGCGTGTGCTTCTGCGAGCTCTGCGTCTGACGTCATGAGGAGCGGCATCCAATGAGGTCACAACTCTGGATGGAAGCGTCGGATAGGAGGGACACCTGGCGAGAGAGAAGAAAAACGTGACAAAATGTGAGGACAATATAGCGTAGCGGCAGCAAATAAAGCAGTTTTTTGCGACGACTGGGAAAAGCGCTCTTCCATTCGGCAAAGCGCAATTATTGCGGCTTCGCAGGTGTTAAAGTCGGTTGTTACTCTCAGATTGCTCCGACTTCAAGGGGTCAGCCACAATCCTCGATTATTCGGTCAATTCCTTGCAAGAATTTCTTTTCTGCTTATTTGTTTTAAATTATTGAGGTTTAGATTAACCTAGAAGACTTGCTTTACCCAGTTCGCTCTTCAAATTACTACTTTCTATAAATGATTAGAATTACAAATTTCGTAAGCCCTGTTGGTGCCATTTGCCATTAAATATTTTATGCAGCCAGTTTATCAATAAATACCCTTTACATTTATTTGTATAACAGCACATTACATGGAATAGTTTAAATAATTAAACTATATAAACATTTGCTTTAAAAAAAGTTAAATAGTAGGAATTAACGAGCTAAAAAACCATCATAATTCGAGGAAATCCTAATTATTTTAGGCCCATAAAAGACGCAGATATTTTTTGAAATTTTATTGAAAGAAATCATGCATTAAAGATGCAATGAAACTATCAGTGCCAATTTGTAAATTTTTACAAATATTGCTTTCTTTTTAAATCCAAATGCTGTATTCGTGGAAACGACTCGCTCTAAATCCAAATGTAATACGCGATTAACAGAGATTTCTCTTTTAACAGAATGCTGTCTGGAAAGTTTGAGAATTTTATGAAATTCAAAATTATGGAAAAAAAAAAATGCTTATCAGATAGTTTAAAATAAATTTAAAAAAAATCAATTGCTGTTGTTGTTGCTAATGCTCGCTTGTCTGACCTGTAGAATTCCTCGTGGCAAAAAGTGCAAGTTTATGCCTGCCGTTGGCAACAGCCTTGAACACCTTGTAAGTGCAGTGCGATTTAGCTCAGTTTCACCCCCAATTTTCATGGAGAGCACCCCGGGGGGACGGGTCCGAGGGGTCTCCCACCCCTCTTCATCTACAGCCAATCTCTCGATAGGACTTTCGGCTCGCCGTATGTTTAGAGTGCCTCCATGCTGCTATGTTAGAGTGCTCCATGCTGCACGGACACTGTACATTTACAAACTTCCATGCTTTCTCCGGGATTCCACCCCGAGCCATTCGGCACGTCAGTCATCGACGCTAACCGCTATATCGGTTGGGCGGCAAATATTTAATATATATATGTTTTAATATTATTAGATTTTTGCGTAAGCGTGCGTAATATGCTATATCACTTGATCTAATTATTTTTCATTTGTACTTTAGGTATAAATACAGAGAAGGGGAATAAAAATAAAATAGCGCACATCAGACGCAGATAAAATTTATAGATATAAGAAAAAGGGCAAAGTGCAATGCTCCCTAATCGTGTTTGTTACCTGATTCGCGTAGAAGCTACACAAGCTATATCTTAGGGCCACCCCCCCAAAAAAATTTAAATATGGTATAAATATAGTATTAAAATATAAGGGCCCCATATTTCAAATAGCTTAGGGCCTCATGAAGTCTAAATCCGGCCCTGCCTATTTTGACATGCAATATGTTAGCTAAAAATTGAAATTTATGCTGTAGGGTTTATATTTATTTTAACTAACATTTATTTTAAGTTTAAACTATCTTTCCTCTCAAGCCTTACTTCCCCTGGAATTGCCAATGCCAGAGTATGTAAATTTTAGTAGAACGCGCATTCATATTGTCAGCGGAAGTATTCTGAGTTAAATAGAAGGGAAACGAGTTCGAAAGTGTCCTTTCTTGCTTCACGAGCGTGGAGGTGACTAGTTAGAAATTGAAGAACCACGCGTTTCGGCCTGTGTGCTTGCCTCGGCAGTTTGTTAATCTTTCAACGTAATATTCAGAAGTTTGCTGAATTATCAGCGGTATCTTAGAACGCGGTGAGGTTAGTTACGTTTAGAGAGCCTCGTAGTTAGTCACTTGTTATTATTCTTTTTTTAGTTTCTTATTTTTATTTTACCGCCGGGTCGGCGTAGTTTGTGAGCGTCAAGAGCACGCATTTGTAATTTCTAAAGTTGAATAAAAAGGGATTTAAACCCTTCTCAAGACTTTGTCTACTTTCCAGTTCTTAGCAGTCACCACTATTGTTGCATGCAGGTTGGAAGCGCGCAACATTACATTGCAATAAAATCTGTTAATAAAATCTCTTTTAAGTTTTATATGAATGAGAATTTTTCAGAGTTCGCTATAAAAATATGAATTAAAATTACATTTTAATTAATCTATGAATTTTTTATAATAATTCGACAAGTAACTTCTTTGTTTGGGCTTCCTAGCACCTTCATTAAAATTAAACCTGAAAAACATATCTGAATAATTACTTTATTCATTTTTCCAAATTTTTATGCTTTATTAGAACAAATATTTTCTCATAAAAGCAAGTAAAGTACTTGTCAATTTTAATTTTTGCAAGGAAACGAATGAATCATTCCTAAAATACTACTTTGCATATTAATATGCAACAGTAACTTTGCAGTGTACAGTAACTTTCTTTGCAAAAAGTGCACTTAAGTGTCTATGGAACTGAATATCAAAGTATGGTGTATGGACCGAAGAAATATCAAAGCTGAATTTACATTGTAAATATTTAAAAATTTGTTATTGAGGAGTCAGCTGTGCCATGCCATATATGCACAAAGTTATCAAATTCTTACCGTGTACTTTTCAGAAAATCCACTGCTATTGCCACTATTGTTAAGCAGGGGTCCGAACCCCGGAGAAGACGTGAATGTTTGTAAGTGTATAGTACCTGTGCGACATGGGAGCACTTAAAATACTTGCAAGCTGAAAGACCTCTGGAGAGGCTAAATGGTAGGGACAGGGAGTTGTGGAACCGTCGCATCGGTTCCCTATTTTTTTTTCCCACCAAACCACTGGCCGAGTTATGCAGTTCGTGCAGTGAGACTATACTAGTACAACCAGTGGTCAAATTTTATGTCCTGCCCACTTCTTCCTGTCCTACCTGTTCGGATGCTGTCTCGTAACTCTTGCGGGTATTGAGATGAAATGTACACACACAACGCCAGAGACGCGAAGTGTAAAGTTACTGGTAGTGATGATGACCAATACAGCTGTCAGACCGATGTTTATTTTAGTAGTTTCACAACAAATTTCATCTATATTTCATCTGCTCATTGATAATTTCCTTCGTTCTTCTAACATAAGCAGTTACTTTACACCAAATGTGCAAATCAGTTTCATTTTTTCTGAGTTACCTTCTATGTAGTTGTGTTGGCAGTCTCGAAAATATAAACTTCATATATATTGTACACTAGTCTAGATTTTGTCCACCGTACATTCGTCTAGATATTCTGGTCTGTATTATTTTAAAACCCGGCAAAGCACTCGTAAGCTAGTGTTAGCACTAGTGATCGTGAGTGAGCTATCGTGAGCACTATCTAATTAAGGTGAAGAATGCCTTCGTAGAATACATTTTAAGAGAAACTGGCTGATATTCGCGTTACACGTGGTGCAGGGTGTATCACGAAATATTTCATGCAAGCAACGTATTCACTAGGATTTAAACGCGGTTCCAAAGATTTTGCCGCTGGGTCGCTTAACTGTTCTAGACCCGAAACTAAAATACGAGATTGTAGTGTTAAGTTTATTTAAAAAAATTTAAAACGAGATCTACGTCATTTAATTATAATTTTAACATAGTTATAATAATTATATTTATCATGGTAGATCTTTTTATATTAGTAAAAGCTGCAATAACTTTAGTAATACTTCGAAGAATTATTTTAGTTGGACTATTTATACAAATGTCACAGGGTGTGATGTCGAAAGATTTCGGCGACCATTTGCGAAATGTAAGTCACTGAACGGTTGAACAAATATTAATATGAATAAGAGGAAGACACGAATAAATCGATTCATCCACCTCGCATACATCTATTCAAAAGGAGAGATTAATCTGAGGCGGTAATTTGAAAACAGCAGACCTTTTCTCTTCGGTAATGTCGAATTTATAATTAAAATATTATTAATAAAGGCTGGAAACACTCTTTGGCCATGTTCCTGCCGAGAGTGCAGTGGAGGATGATTGACAGGCTACTTTGTAGTTACAAGCGTAACGATCCTTTATTTCTTCGTCTCTTAAGGCTCGTTTCCACTACTGCGTACGAACGCGTTGCGTCAATTGAAGACACGCCTACGGCATCCGTACAAGCGTTTCCACTGCTGCGTATCCGTAAAATATTTTCATTTTCCACCGCTAGGTGTCACTGTAATATTTTGACGCCAAACAAACAGTTCGCGAGTTAAGACGCTGAACATCTGAATTTTTCCCGCTTAAGCGAGTATTGTTTGTTTTGGATTTGATATGGATCCTTACGTAAAACGCAGAAAAGTTTTGTTTACTAAATTTCCATGTTATTGGAAATTTTTTATTTTGCTTATGAACTGCGAAAGTAAAGTACGCTAGCAATTTTTACATAAGTAAGGTTATAATACATATTATGAACATCACTAATTCCATAGAAGATTAAGTAAATTTAAAAAAAAAAAAAAAAAAAAAAAAAAAAAAAAAAATTGTGTTTCTAGAAGCCTTAAATACTATGAAATATATATATATTACTAACTAAAATGTACTGTTTGTGAAAAAGTAAACAAATAAATAAATAAAATAAAAAAGTTAAAGGGATTAAAAAATAGTTGGTACTTTAAAAGTACAGAGCAACTGTAAAGAAAGGTTCACGATATTTACGCAAAATTTGCTATGCTTGTATACCGCTGGTTGCCATGGGAGATCGTATACCTTTAAAATATGCCCAAATTTGGTCAGAAAGCAGGTAATAATATATAAAATTTTAGCATCGATTTCTTCAGGGTCATAGCTGGATAATTTATTAGAAATCTCGTTTGTTTTAAAATGGCACTATGGGCAGTTATATTTTATGCATAATCCATAAAATATTATTTT